AGACATTTCAAAATGGGGGCAAAGAAGTCTACTTAACACCTTACTTGCATCAGTAAGTATACATCTTATAAATGAATGCACATTTATGTAAAACTGAAATTTTACTAATATTATTTCAACGTGCAGGGGTCATTGGCAGCTCATAATCATTGTTCCTCGGCAATTTCTTGTGATTCTCTTATGTTCATTACATAAGAAACCAAATGATTTGGATATTAAAAAGCACATAGACGCGTAAGTTTGGTTTTTTTAATTGTTGTATCATATGTGCACTTACACCAAAATTAGGTTCTATTATAATTAATTTTTGTCCTTTTGTAGAGCTTTGGAAGCTCACCTAATGTTGCAAGGCCTTCCATCTCATGCTAGAAAGAAGTTGACGTATATTGCACCAAAGGTGACCAAACATTTCTCTTACTGTTGTTCCATTTGTCATTTAAAGTTAATCTGACATGTATTTAACTTGTAGTGTCCACGCCAACCGGGAAGTCATGAGTGCAGGTATTATGTGATGAAGCACATGCACACCATCGTATCCACAAATATTATTGACTCATGGAGGGAGGTAAATATACTATAATTAAGTCAAATATGCCAATTATGTAAATGGTTTCTAAATCTGAAATATTTCAATATGTAGGAATTTACAGACTCATCTCCATTGAAGATTGAAGTGTTAGACGATAATAGAGAGCAGAGGGCTTCTTTCCTTTTAAGTATTCAATCTTCATAGAAAATTTGACTTGTAACAATTTTGATTAAATTGATTTAAGCTAGCAAATTTACATTCGTTTAAGTAAATGAATTGTCTGGAACTATGAGGTACATATATTGATTTCAATATGTTTCATATGAACATATCTGTCTGGAACTACATATGAACTGTGCATATCTGTCTATACAAGTATTTGGAATTGTGAATATCTGTCTGAAACTATGATGAATAGGCAAGTCTACTCGAAGAAAAGTAGGATCTGTGAAGAAAATGCAGGTTCTGTAAAAAAAATACACACTTTCTACGTCGGTTAATGACATAACTGACGTAGAAAGTTTAACATTTTATGTCGGTTATAAGCACAACCAACATTGATATCACATACAATCATGGTTACTGTTAACCGATATAGATACAGGGGTTATAGAAAGTAAGACTTTCTACGTCGGTTAGTCAGGAAACCGACGTAGAAAGGTCTTTCTGTATTAGTGCTACCAATATTATTATGGTAAAGATGAGACCAAGACACTCTGACCAGTCACTACTAGATAAAAGAGTGGCTTTATTGTTAAACTATATTGAATCAAATTTGACAAAAATAATTATAATGATTCATTTAAAATAATTGAGACTAGATTGATACAATAAATAATAGAATTTAATAGGTTATGCCATTTTGAGAATACTTTTATTTGAGACGATCTTTGTTATCTTTTAAACAAATCATAGCCAATTTAATAAGCTTGTGAATGAGTATTCAATATCTTGTAAGAAAAATTTTAGTCATAAACCTTCAAATTTCAAGTGTCAAACCTCTAAACTCAGCTTTTGTACTTAAGCAAGAGACTACACTTTGTATTTTTTTTCCTTCTCCATATGACAAGATTACCACTAATAAATGTAAAGTAATCTGATTTCGATTGTCTATCTTCTAATGGACTATAATTTGTATTTTTGTTGAACAATAATTCTTTTTTAGGTGATGCCTTTATATATCTTACAATGTCCATATTGCTCTCTAGAATTAAACATAAATTAACAAACAACATTTAATGCATAGGTGAGATATAATCTTGTGTGTGTTAAATACATAAATCTTCTTACAAGTCTTTCCTATATTAATTTATCAACTGGGACTTGATATGATGTGTATTTGTTAACTGACAAACTTACATATAATAAGTCTAAGACATATTCACTACAAGAAAATCATTAATTACCGACAGATATATAGTCGTTGAAAAATAAGTGATTATCGACCGAAATTACTGATGAAAATTACCGAGTGATTACCAACAAGAATAAATATATAAATATATAAATATATAAATAAATATATAAATACACAAATATACAACAAATATACAAATATATAAATATAATAAATAAACCATGTATACTTATTCATTTAATTCCCCATGTAAAAATGCATTTTTTACCCCAAACTACTTCAATGCCCGATATAGATCTCTTGCTAAAGATGATAATACCCTAACAATAATTCCCATGTAAAAATGCATTTTTTACCCTAAACTACTTCAATGCCCAATATAGATCTGTTGCTAAAGATGATAATTAACAATATTAATTTTTGCTATGGAAGCAAATGTCTATGTGTAATCAAATCTTATATGTCTAGGTATATCCATTTGTCACCAATTTTGCTTTAAATCATTCTATTGTACCATATGCTTTGTTTTTGACGGAGTAAATTCAATTAGCATCTTATTGATTTCTTTCCTGGTGGACAATCAACAAGGTTCAAGTTTTATTCTTTTGAAGTGAGTTCATCTCCTTATTCATAGCAGTCTCTATCTTGGTTTAACCAACTCTTCTTGTACACTCGTTAGAAATAATTATAGAAAATAACTTATTCATAGATATTTTATTTATTTTTTACTATCTATGATTAGATACATAATGATTCATAAGATATTTAATTCTATTAGAGAGTTCAAATTCATAAGTAAGCTTAGGAATAACTCTAATGAGATATGTGACAATTGTTTTATAATCAACAAATAATTGGTAACATCTTCGTTAAGAGTTTCATGAGATATTTCAAAATCATCTCCATGTAAAGATTCACATTATTATTTAATGTTATCCCCACTAAGGGGTTTCTATGGTACTAAGAGATTCTTGTGATGCTTCAATGTCAGTTTCTCTTTTATCTCTTAAAAAGATAATGATATGAAGTTATATCACTTAAATTTGTATACTCTAAAGTTTGAATTTTCTATATTTCTTGTTGGTTCCCTCCCTAAAAATCATAATACTTAGAAGCAATATGTAATGTATCTACATGAATAATTGCATTCTTTGTTTTATATATATATATATATATATATATATATATATATATATATATATATATATATATAGATAGATAGATAGATAGATAGATAGATAGATAGATAGATAGATATAGATAGATAGATATACAACATATTCAATAAAAATACATTGAATAGTTTATGGGACTAACTTGGTGCATTGATGTTTATGAGGATGAACAAATACAACATATCCATAAATTAGAAAATATTGAAGTCCCCATTAAATTATGTAAAGTTTTAAAATGTGTCTTAAACTCAATAAAACTTGAAGGAGTCTAATTTATTAAATACACTTGGTGAAGTAAAAGTTTATCCCTAATCATACAATGACATGTGTATATTAATTAATGAAGCATAAACAACTTCTAAGAAATGTCAATTTTTTCTTTCATAACCCATTAAGGTGCATTTGGACAAATAAATTGATTAATAATTCTATTAACTTTTAAATATTATTGTAGTTCAAAATTTTAAATTTCTTACCATTATCACTATGTAAAATTTAAGTTGAACATTATATTGAATTTTTATTGATGAAAAGTTTTAAATAACAAACTTACCTCATTTTTTTTATTTTATTAAATATAACCGAAGTCATTCTTATATAATCATCAACGAGATTCACCTAAATTTTGAATTTTAGATGAATCTCACACATCAAAATGTACCACCCTAAAATGTTAAAGATTTTTATTTAAAATTAATGGAAATGAAATTGACTTTTTACAAATTTACAAATATCACAATAAAAACTAAAAATATTATATTTTAAACTAAATTAAAAAATATTTTTTTAAATACTCAAATAAGAAATTACCACAACTCATATTTTTAATTTTTTATTCTTCTCCTTAGAGTAATCACTATAAATTATTGTGACTCGTTATAAGTTTCTTTAATATGAAATCAAGATAATATAACAACAACATAGTCTACACACAACATGATTAACGGTTAAAAATTTCATTTCAATGTACTTAACTTACAAAATTAGCTTACAAGTCGAAGATTACATTTATTTATATCATAATTTTGTTTAAAGAAATAAAATATTTTTCAATTTAAAGGATTAAAATCAAAATTATTCTATTTGGAAGATTAAATTATGTTATACTTTCTGATACGTAATAAGGTAAATATTTCAGAGTATTCTAATAATCACCCAACAATAAATGATATGATAGATCAAACTTTTTTTTAAATAAGTTAAAAGTATCATATTAATTGGACCGACCGAACTTGATGGGTCAAATAAGAAATTTTTTTTGACCCGGCCCAATTTATATTTATAAATGGATCACACTTTAAGTCAGGTGCAATCCTAGACTAGGCTTATGAACTAATTAGTCATTTTGACCTTTATAAAAAAATTAAAAAACTAATTTTAATTTAAGTTAAATTAATAAAACTAATTTAAATTTTAGATATGATTTATATACAAATTATAATATATATATATATATATATATATATATATATATAATTTTTTTGAATTATTTTATTTTATTCAAAAAGTAATTATTATTTTATAAAAAAAATCTTATTATTTATCAATTTAAGTTAAATTAATAAAATTAATTTAAATTTTATATATTTCCATTTTTAAATTTGTGTTTACATTTATCTTAACTTACCATTATTTAAAAAAAAGTTATATTTAAAATCTTCAAAAGAAAATTTAACAAAAACTAATTATTCTTCATAAAATAATATAAATTAAACACAATTATGCTAACTTCATAACAAAACAAAAAAAAATCTCAAGTTCGATTAAATTAATCAACTGTCAGTACCATGATTAATGAACTAAAAAATAAAACAAAAAATCTTTCCACTAAAAAAGTCAACATCATGACCCTACTCCTTGGAATTAATTTTCTACAGCAGCCTCTTTTGTCCAAATAAATTTATTTAATTATAATAATAATAACTTTCACAATTCAAAGACGTATTGCTTCGCTGCATTCTCGATTTCGTTAGAAATTAAATAATAATTTATATATAATTAAAGTTTTTTAACAATAAAATTATAATAATTAAAGTTTTAAAATAAATAATATTTCTCACATCAAAATTAAACCTAATAATATTATCATAATCAATAATCAATATAAAACTTAGATATTCTCTATCCTAATCATGACAAAAAAAAAATTGTCATCGAAATAAATAATTCAGTCATATAATTGAGACCATTATTTTCCATAATAAATTTTATTGTTATTAATATATAATTGGGATTGTGTGAAATGTCTGCAAATATTTGTCAAACCAAAGTCCGTGACTAACCCTCATCAGATAGATTTCATTCACGGACGATAGTTTGATGCGGAGAATCTTTTTTGCCTTTCAATGGTCGTAATTTTTGGAAATTATGTTGGTTACAAATATTATAAATAATTTGAAATATCTAAGATGTTTATGAGAATGAAAAATATAATTAAATTGTTTACGATTTTTTAATAAGATATCTAGTTAAAATATATTGTCGAGGATGTTAGACTCGTGGAAATATATAGTTCTTAAAATATTTATATCAAACATAACGATAATAATTTAATATTTTCTATGACTTTCCAAAAATTGAAATAATAATTTTTTTTTTTGTAAAATTTAGAAGATCACAGTCAAAATTCTTTTTTAACTTCATACCCTGTTATTGACATTGTGCTTGTACGTTACCTAATCCTTTGAAGTTTCATAAATTTGTCTGCCAAAACTCAAACAGGAAAAGAAAAAAAAAAAACATAATTTGAGATTGGTCAATTGTAGGTTCCATGTGTTTTGGATTTTGATTTTTCTTGGATAGTAACAACAAAGCGAGACATGTTCGGTGACAAAAGATAATAGTGGAGAAAAAAGTTATAATATTTTTTAAAAATATTATAAAATTTTCACAACACGTAATGTAATAGTAAAATCATATATTTTTGTTTTATTTACCAATTGTAATAGTTCTCTATAACCTTTTTGTAGAAATGATTTCGTGGGAAAAAAGAAACTTTTAATGGTTAACATAAAAAAAAAGTTTTAACAGTAACAATTGACATAGTTATAGTTATAAGGAAACTGACGTAAAAAAAAAACGATGCAAATTTGTGTTTAACATCAATCTATCCAATAATTGATACTGAAGGTGATTTTCTGCATTGATTATAATATAACTGAAAGTTATTATAACAAATATAATTATTATTTTTTGAAACATTTTTTTTCTACAAAATGATTCTTTTTTTTTTTTCTCTTTTCTACTTTTGTTGGAAGGTCTCACACTCCTTTGAGTTGTTATTGTTTGTTACAGTCTCTATCTTCTTCCAACCCTTCATTGTCCTTCCCCTCCATTGCACCCTTGTACTTTGTTGCACACTCACCTTCTACTGTGCTTCGTTCTTTGGGGTGTCTTCATCTTCCATTATGTCCTCGTACTTCGCCGCTCTTGCCCTCTTTCACACTATGCTTTTGTCCTCGTCCTCTATCATGTCTTGCACTCATCCTCCATCGCATCGTGCCCTCACCCTTGGTTATGTCGCATTATCGCTTTCACTCTCTATCTTGTCTTCATCCTCTTTAACATCCCATTTTTTTTTTAAATAAAAAATATGATATAATTATTATTTAACTTAACTAAATTATTTAATTAGACTTAAATTATAAAATAAAATTATTTGTTATAAAAGATCAAACAAGTTGTGTTAGACAAATATAAAGATAAAAAGATAAATATAAAAACATAATTATAGAAAGATAAAATTAAAAAGATAAAGTTAACAAAGATAAAAGTAAATTAGAATTTATTTTTAAAATCAGGACTCCACGATATGTAAATATTATAGGTCTTCTTACTTTTATTCTACATCATTTAATTTTTAACGTTTGAGGATAACATAGGACGAGAAGAGTTTTGAGAGTGACTTTTAGCTTTGCAAGATATATAATGAAATATTGTGTATTGTCATTTGAGGTAAGAGGGAGAGGAAAATATCTCATATATAAGTGCTCATAAGAATTGAGGGTAGAGAGACAACCCCTAAGCCTAAGTAGGATTTTGTTTTGCGTAATTTTTATGATAATAAGATTTTAAACTTAATTATAACCAATTATAAATCAAGTATTGATTTGTACTTTTTTTAAAATCCTAGGATCCTATTTACGCAAATTAATTGGAGTGGTAGAAGAAACCCTTAGTCCTTGATAAAAATATTTTCAGTTAAATTGAACCTCAAACTATAGTTCAATTATTAATTTATATTATTTTAAAATCTTACGATTCTATTTAACTACAAATACATTTAAGGATGATTTGTTTTGGAATTAAAAAAAATGATATTCATGAAACTTGTAGCCCTACATGTGATAATGGTGTTGATTTCACACAAAAATATAATGTATAACTCAATATATGATGTTTTTAGTAATTGAATGTCATGTTGTCAAGAGTGGAATACAAGTTTGTGTTTTTCTTTATTTTAGGCCTAATAAATTATTGAACTAGATTTTGAGGGTAACATATAAGTTTTAGATAATTGTACTAACTTTAAAACAAGATAAAAATCAATATCATATGATTTGTATAACTATAAATATTGTGTTTTATAAATAGAAGTCATATACGTACAATAAAAAGTGAGTGATATATTACTAAAGACCTAAGAGATATAATATTGACTTTCTATGTGTAAACCTTATGTATTATGTATGTATATGTATGAGGGTATATCTTGAGATGTGTGATAATAAATTATTTATGTGAATAAGATGTTATGCTATAGGGATTTGTGTTTTGCTTTGAAGAACTTGTGAATTATAAAAAGTTGAATTATTATGATGTGTTTAGAGATGTCAAAATAGACTTAACCTGATAGGTCGACCTGAAAAATAGGTGAGGCTAAGTAAAAAAAAAAAATATTATGAACTAGATTAAATCATACTTATTTTGGCCCCTTCAACCATGATTTACATGTACTTAGGTCAAGCTAGTTCGTAGGCTTATAGGTCAACATGTTTTATAAAATATTAATTATTTTTAAATTAAAATAAAAGTAATATTATTTCATTCAGAAATATATATGTATGTATTATAAATTAATTTGATAATAAAATTCACTTATTATAAGAGTAAATATGAGAGTAATTTTCTAACCTCCACTTATTTCAAAATCTAATGATTAAGATGAATTACTATTTTAGATCAATAAATCATTAAAAAATGAATGATAATAATGAAAAGTATTAAAAAATGAATGAATATCTTCTCTTATAATTTTTATATTAGATTATTATATTTGAAATAAAAACTAATTTTATTAATATTTTTTTATTTTTAATTTTTTAAACATATTTTTCATTGATTGTTTTGATATAGATACATTAATATATATTTTTTAATTTTCAATCAGGCCAAAATTAGTTGGTTAACTTAACATAAGGACAGACTAAACAAAAAATTATGGCCTTTTAAAAATATAGGTTAGACTAGACCATCAATTTTTTAACTTGACTTATAGGATCAGGCCAGGCTGGGATAAGCTACCCGTTTTAACACCCTAGAGGTGTTTGAGAATTACTTGTGTGTTTTGAAAAGACTCTGCAAGATGAAAATCCAAGTTATGCTTGATCATTTAAGAAGTCTAAACAATAGCTTAATAACGTGAAAATCCAAGTTTTGTTCGGTCATTTGAGAAGTCTAAGCATGACTTAGTAGTGTGAAAAACCAATTTATATTTTGTTCATTTGAGACGGGTTATGCATTTGTGTATAATGCATTTATGTGTATATATACTTCATTCATTCATATTTTATTGGGGTATATGCAATCTATGAAGGAGGGTTTCTATGATCTTCTACCTTGGTCTTAGAGATTTTAGAGTAAGAGATCTCTTGTTTGAGTAAGATGAGGGTTAACCACAACCAACTATATTATCCTGATTGACTCTTACTAAACTCGTTCTAGTTGAAAGTGGATTGATATAGTCATTGTGATCTAATTCGCGTACTCATAAACCACTTCAAAAGCTTGTGCATTGTGTGAAATCACATACATACATAGATAAGAGAATTCACATATTAAGTTAATTGAATGAACTTATAATGGAGTATGTATTGGTAATGTGACATGTGTGCGAGTTTAGTTTTACTTAACTGAGTTAACTGGGTGAGTTTATGAATGAGTATTGTTTGATAAGGTGATGTTTGTGCGTATTTAGTTCTACCCAATTTCTTATGTGCCTATAACATATGAGATATGAAAGACCCTATGAAGTTTCACTGTTTCCTGGGATTGGCTTTGAGCTTTTCCTGCGCAGCTTAGGTGGACGGCAAAGAAGGCCTTCTTCTGGGGGGCCAGAGCCATCAATGAGATACTACTCTGGAAGAACTAGAATTCTAACCTTGTGTCAGGACCTAGGGCTGGGGGACAGTCTCAGGTAGACAGGTAGTATAACATTCTTTTGTTCTTTTCTACTTTTTTTATGATATTGAATTTCACATAAAGAACTAGATATATCTTGATTTGAATCATTGTATTTGCTCTTCTTTACTCTTTTTCTTTTTTTATTTTAGAAATGAGCCCCAATAAACAAGTATGAAAGCTATATATAGTAAACCACGATTAAATCTATGGAAGCATTGGTTTATACATTTCTCTTAGTCTCAACTTTAGGAATTATTTTTTTCGCTATTTTTTTTAGAGAACCCCCTAAAGTTCCGACGAAAAAGGTTAAATAATTTTTTATACTCACTCCTCTATTTCTATTATTTGTATTATTTTTTTGGGTTAAACACCTTTACAAGTGAACCAATTTTCGATAAGGAGAAAGAGATGGATAATGAAGTCTATGCTTCTTTTATTGTTATTTTGTGGGGGTACTCTAATTAGGTGCGAATTGAGACAAAAAAGATAGTACATTTATTTTGTTTTGAGAAATCATTTTTCAGTTTTGTAAAGGCAACTCTAATGCCAAACAAATTTTATTTTGATATCATATTTTCCTTATTTTTAATGAGTTTTATATAAAGAAAAGATACATGTGAATCATTTTACCTTTTTATTTTTTGCATTATATTATTTATTAAAAAAATATTTTTGGGGTAGAAGGATGTCACATCCTCCATCGTGCTCTCTCCTTCATTATTGTTGTCACTATCCATCTTAGTCTCAATATATTTTGTAGTTTTACCATTTACCATGGTCTCACACTCCTTGTGTTGTTGTTTGTTATTATAATTTTTCTTCAAATATTTCTTTATTAGTTATTGAAAGTTTTCAATTATATATTTTTTTAAGATTATTTTATAAGTATTTGGTACTATTTTATATTTGTTTGACACTTTTTATGTTTATTTCTGGATTGATTTTTATTTATAAGTGAGAAATATCACAAAATAGCAAGCATTTTGAAAAATAATAATGAACTTTATACATTGGTTTTGGTGTTGAATGTGTATACTTCAATATCGATTTTTTACAATCGATATTGAGTCTCTTAACTTTCAATGATGTCTGTTTCAATGTCAATTTAAAAATCAATGTTATATATATTATAGAGCGGATGTTGAATGTTATTATTGTAATGTAAGTTGAAAAGATTATAAATAGAAAATTTAACTATTTAAAATTTCATTATCACAAAACTACCATCTATCTAAAACTTTTTTTCTTTTCTCTAGGTTTCTTGCTCCCCCCTTATTTTATTTTTCTAGACTCAAACACACCGTAATGCTCCTAAAATCAAGTGGAGCAATTTTAACCGATCAAAATTTTTAATAAAATAAGCTTCCTTTTTGCTTATTTTTAAAGCATTTGTATGTAAATTTAAGGGGCTTGCATGTGGAACACAATGTGCATGCATGTTAATTTTGTTGGATAACTATGAATCTTGACTAGCTTAAGACCATAATAATATGTTCAATTTGTTGATTAAATTTTTTTGAGTAAGATTTGACTTCCAAAGAATTTAAAAGTTTTGGGACTTCTATCTTTGAGAGACCTTGACCAAGGTAAGGAAAACTAATTTTATTATTTATAGAACCTTAGATTAGAATATTTGAATATATGAAGTTAACTTGATCACAATGGTTTAAAATAGATGTTTTGTATGACTTGAAAAATTCATTTTTCATTGATTTTAGCACGTTGCATAACTATTTTTTTGCATGAGTGTTACTAGACTACCAATCTTTCACTGAGCAAAATTCATTGCGGTGAAAACTCAAGAGCTTTAGTTGTTAGGCGACTATTTATTTGATAAACAAAATTCATTTTATGGAAAATTTGAGAGATTCCTTAGGTAACTAACCAATCGTTAGGTGCAGGGGTTGTCCACTAGGCAAGCAAATAACATGTGTTTTAAATTATTTTTAATGCTAAAATATTTATGTTTCACTTAATTGTTATATGTGAACAACTTTTCATAATTGAATATTTGTTATTGTTTGATGAATAATGAATTGGAATTTTCTATATTATGTTTGTGTTGGAATGTGTGGTTTTGAATGATAAGTTATGATTTGGAAAATAGTATGAGTTGTGATGAAATGTATTAAACAGTGGTGGATC